GCTGGTTTGGCTCAGTGGATAGAGCGTTAGCCCTCGTACTGAAAAGTCCCAGGTTCAATTTCAGTCAAGGGCACATGCCCAGGTTGTGGGCACAATCCCCAACAAGGGGCATACAGGTGGCAGCCAATCAATGATTCTCTCTCATCATTGATGTTTCTATCTCTCTCTCTCCCTTCCTCTCTGAAATCAATAAAAAATATTTTAAAAAATCATATTTGTTCTTGACTTACACATGTCTATATTCTTAATAGTGTCACTTTCCACCTTACAGATGAGGGCATTACGGTTCACAGAGGTATAATAATATGCATATTCATTGAGCAAGTAGATGGTACGATTTGGACCCAAGACTGTTAGGTGCCAACATCAGTTCCTCATGCTATTAGGTCTATAAAAATACATTTTTAAGTCATAATAGTAAGAATAAATATTTCTAGAGTTAGTAAGTTATTCTGGGCTAGCCCTTTGTCATGCCTGTGGGTGGTGAGTGAGAAGTGGCATAAAGCAGCTGTGTACTCTTTCGAGAGTGCTTAGAAAAGGGTTTGAATGGTACAGTAGTTTCCCCCTTATCCGTAGTTTCACTTTCTGCGGTTTCAGTAAACCATGGTTTGAAAATAATAAATGGAAAATTCCAGAAGTAAACAATTCACAAGTTTTAAATTGGGTGTTGTTCTGAGTCTTGTGATGAAATCTTATACCATCCTGCCCCACCCCACCCCACCCCCCCAAGATGTGAATCACCCTTTCATCCAGCATCTCCTCACTGTAGACACTCCCCAACCATAGGTCACTTAGTAGCCACCTTGCTTATCAGATTGACTGTCATGGTATTACAGTGCTTGTGGTCAAGTAACCCTTATTTACTTAATCATGGCCCCAAAGTGTAAGAATCCTGATGCTGACAATTTGGGTATGCCAGAGAGAAGCCAACAAGTGTTTCATTTAAGTGAAAAGTTATGTCTGTATAGGAACACAAAGTATAAAAAGAATTCAGTACTGTCTGTGGTTTCAGGCATCCACTAGGGGGGATCTTAGAACGTATTTCCCGAGGATACTGTGTGGGGGAAATACTATACCTTGGTTTTCAAAGAGTAGAAGGAAAGCAAACTAACTCGAAGCTCTTCCACCTCCCTGAGAGGCCAAAGCCTGGGAGAGCAGTAAATCTCCCAGGAAGCCAGGACGTGGAAGTTGGAGAGGAAGGGGGAGTTGTAATAACTGCAGGGACAGGATAGCACGTTTTACTATTCTGACGCGGGGGAAGCATGCCAATCAGTAAGATTTGGGGTGCTATCAATGGAACACATGGGCAGGTCTCTTGCTGAATGAGAAATGTGACATTGTAAAGATCTACTAGCACTGATTTATTTGTCAGAAAAGCACGTCTGGGAACCACCATGCATGTGAGTACGTGTGTATGTTTAATACGAGGAAAAGTATTCATAGCTGTTTCTCTAAAAAGAAAAGAAAAAAACCAAAGACCAAAGATGGAACAGATTTGGCCTAAATTATCCAAAAATAAATAAGTAAAGAGCACCATAGGGAAAAAAAATGATCTCTGGGTTGTAGCCAGGTACAAAGTACTTAAAAATAGAGATGTTGTAGCATTTAACCATTACTGCCTATTTTTCTTTTTTAATTCTTTATTGTTCAAAGTATTACATACGTCCTCCTTTTCCCCCATTGACCTCTCCCACCCCACCCCCGCCCCCCAGTCCATGCCTTCACGTCCCCCCCATTGTCTGTGTCCATTTGTTATGCTTATATGCATACCAGTACTTTGATCTCTTAACCCCTGCCCACCCTCCCCTGCCTTCCCTCTGAGATTTGACAGTCTGTTCAATGCTTCTACGTCTCTGGACCTATTTTTGATCATCAGTTTATGTTGTTCATTATATTTCACATATGAGTGAGATCATGTGATACTTATCTTTCTCTGACTGGCTTTCTCTGCTCTCCCTGTTGATCCATACTATTTCGAATGGTAAGAATTCTTTCTTTTTCACAGCTGCATAGTATTCTATTGTATAGATGTACCACAGTTTTTAATCCACTCATCTGCTGGTGGGCAGTTTGTTTCCAAAACTTAGCTATTGTAAATTGCACTGATATGAACATAGGGGTGCATATATTCTTTTTGTTTGGTGTTTCTGATTTCAAACACTATGGAGTTTCCTCAAAAAATTAAAAATAGTGCCTATTTTTTAACAGAAAACCAAATATACTTGTAACTTAACCAATTTTTATTTCTAACTATGTCCATCTTTGGTATTTGCTTCCACCAACAGCCTCCATTTCCAGGGCACTCAGCATGTATGAAGAAGCATTTCAGAATACCTCTGAGAGTGACAGGTATGCCTGCTCTCCACTTCCTTCATACCTGGAGGGCTCTGGCTATGTGGGAGAGGAGGAACAAGACTCACGGAGACCACTTCAAGACGTCTGCTTTCACCTTCTAAAACTCTACAGTGACAGACATTATGATCTCAACCAGCTGCTGGAGCCTCGAAGCATAACAGCAGATCCATTGGACTATCGCCTAAGCTGGCATTTGTGGGAGATGCTGCGTGCTCTTAACTACACCCATCTCTCAGAGCAGTGTGAGCGTGTGGGCAGTTTGTTTCCAAAACTTAGCTATTGTAAATTGCACTGATATGAACATAGGGGTGCATATATTCTTTTTGTTTGGTGTTTCTGATTTCAAACACTATGGAGTTTCCTATGAAAATTAAAAATAGTGCCTATTTTTTAACAGAAAACCAAATATACTTGTAACTTAACCAATTTTTATTTCTAACTATGTCCATCTTTGGTATTTGCTTCCACCAACAGCCTCCATTTCCAGGGCACTCAGCATGTATGAAGAAGCATTTCAGAATACCTCTGAGAGTGACAGGTATGCCTGCTCTCCACTTCCTTCATACCTGGAGGGCTCTGGCTATGTGGGAGAGGAGGAACAAGACTCTCGGAGGCCACTTCAAGACGTCTGCTTTCACCTTCTAAAACTCTACAGTGACAGACATTATGATCTCAACCAGCTGCTGGAGCCTCGAAGCATAACAGCAGATCCATTGGACTATCGCCTAAGCTGGCTGAAAGGGTTCTTGGAAGACCTGGCACCTCCAGAGCGCAGTGGCCTAATCCAGGACTGGGAAACATCTGGCCTTGTTTACCTGGACTATCTTCGGGTCCTTGAAATGGTCCACCAAATACAGCAGGTGGAGTGCTCGGGTTATGAGCTGGAGCAGTTACAAACCAAAGTGACCTCGCTGTGCAACAGGATAGAGCAGATCCAGTGTTATAATGCCAAGGATCGCCTGGCTCAGTCAGACATGGCCAAACGTCTAGCCAACCTTTTGCGGGTGGTACTGAGCCTTCAGCATGCCCCTGATGCAACCTCTGACTCTATGCCAGATCTTCAGCGTGTACCTTTGCGCCTTTTGGCTCCCCACATTGGCCGGCTCCCCATGCCTGAGGACTATGCCCTGGAGGAGTCTTGTGACCCTCCATGCCAACCTGCTACCCTACTCCGAACCCAGCCCTTTCACACCAGGACTCTTTAGGAGTGGGACAAATGTATCCTTCCTTAACAGGTGACCAATCCACAGAAGGAAGGAGAATCTCTCTTTTAAGTAGGTTGATGAATTAACATTGCGTTGTATAGTCAAGAGAGAGTTGTACTGAGTTAGGAAGCAGAACAGGGTCTTCCTGTGAGTGCCTGCCATGGACGGGTGGATCTTCAAGGCTAGTTTGTTCCTGCCTTGGATGTTTTGTAAACACCAAACCTTCCCTGCTACCATGCAGGAGCCCTTGGTCACAGATCCCATGTCTCTGGAAAGCTCCCAGGATTCATTTGGTCCCCGGTTTTCAGTCATCTCGCTAGGCCTCCTGTCTGGATTTGCCTGGGAGTTTATATAAAACCTGGCAGTTGGGGAGCCCTTCCTGTCCTTCCCATTGTAGCCCAAAGAATTTCTCACCCTCCATCTACAGCCCCAGAAGGTAAAACCATCACTGAGGCAGATTTCAGGGGCAGGCAGGGGGCCTTCACTACACTCCTGCCAGCTATGGGACCCCCAGGTAACAGCTTGAGACAGACAACATGGCTACTCCTGGGTCTTTATGCATGAAGATTATGTAAAGGTTTTTATTAAAAATATATATATAAATAAATGATTAAAAATAGTTAAGACTATTTCTTTTGTTGTTGTTGTTAATATTCACCCAAGGATATTTTTTCCATTGATTTTTAGAGAGAGTGGAAGGGAGTGGGAGAGACAGAGAGAGAAACATTGATGTGAGGGAAACACATCGGTTGGTTGCCTCCCACATGTGCCTCACAGATCCCATGTCTCTGGAAAGCTCCCAGGATTCATTTGGTCCCCGGTTTTCAGTCATCTCGCTAGGCCTCCTGTCTGGATTTGCCTGGGAGTTTATATAAAACCTGGCAGTTGGGGAGCCCTTCCTGTCCTTCCCATTGTAGCCCAAAGAATTTCTCACCCTCCATCTACAGCCCCAGAAGGTAAAACCATCACTGAGGCAGATTTCAGGGGCAGGCAGGGGGCCTTCACTACACTCCTGCCAGCTATGGGACCCCCAGGTAACAGCTTGAGACAGACAACATGGCTACTCCTGGGTCTTCAGAAGAACTTCGCTGGAGAGAACATGGCAAAAGATCCTGGACAGAACCTGGCTACAGAACTTGGTTGGAGAACCTAGACAGAACCTGGCTGAAGAACCCAGCTACAGAACCTGGCTGACGAACCCGGCTATAGAACCTGGCGACCGAACCTGGCTGGAGAACCTAAACCGAACCTGGCTGGAGAACCTAGCGAGAGAACATGGCTACAGAACCTGGCTGGAGAACCTAGCAAGAAAACATGGACACAGAACTTGGCTGGAGATTGTGGCTAGAGATCCTGGCAAGGCTGCTGATCAACTGAACGCTGTCTCCGTGTCATTCCTTCTTCGCCGACTCCGTCCATACCTTTGGGGACCCCTGGACCCGCTGGGGTTGGACCCCGGCACCCTGATCAGGGTCGGGGATTGAGCCTGCAACTGAGGTACATGCTCTTGACCAGAATCAAACCTGGGGCCTTTTAGTCCACAGGCCAACATTCTATCCACTGAGCCAAACAGGCCAGGACTAAGTCTGTTTCTTTATATGATAAAATGTGATATCACCTTCAAATCAAGGGATGTGAATCCCAACATAATCACTTCATTAATATAACCACATTATCAATATGTTACACTATTTACCAAAAAAGCCAATGTAAAAACAATGTGTTCTTAAGGTTTCATCAGTTTTAAAAATGCACCAGAAATGGAAGTTAGTTTTTCAATCTCTTCTTGTATTTTGTGGAACTGTAACTGAAACCAAGGCTCAACTGCCTGCCTCTATAAGAGCTGAACGCATAAGACAGGTGCTGCAGAAAAGAGAAAGTGGTTTATTCACATGTGAGACACCTGAGAAGAGAGGGTCTCTTGTTGAAAAGCCCATCTCAATATCTCAGTGCAGACTGAGGCTTTTATAAGAAGGGAGAGGGAAAGCAGAACAAAGAAATCAAGTACTGCAAAGTACTCTACGTGCAGGCCAACACAGTCCATTCTGATAAGGATCTTGAAACTTGTCAAGTAACTGGTGTGCCATCCTGGTCTTGATCATCCTGGTTCTAAGTCATGCTGGTTCTATGGTTGAAGGTCAGCAAATCTCCCAGAATTGGGATGATTGAAGGTCAGCGTTTGCATCTTCTGAAGATAGTTCCTAGGATTCTTATACAAACATGTTGTTTATCTACAAGCTACATATTAGAGTCAGCATATACAGCAGGGATGGGGAATTTCTGCCCCTGTGGGCCATAGAGGCCCACAAAATCATTTGGTCTGGCCCTGTCAAGGCATTGGGGTGAGTTAATAAAATGATTGAACAAATATAGCACTTGAATTTTTAAGTTGATAATTTTGTATAGCCAGGGAATGATGTTATAAAAATCCAAATGGCCTTCAGAAGAAAAAAGGTTCCCCAACCTTAATTTACAGAAACAATATCAAAAGAATGGTGGGGTGGTTAGAATTTCTCACTGTCAATTTTTCTTCCACTGTCATGGAAGTTAGGGGGTTATAGCCAAAAATGTTTCAGAACACTAGAAAAATTCTGTATCCAGTCTAGTTCATAGATGAAAATAAAATTTTATAGACAATTAACTGAACTAGAGCCTAATATTCATAATTATGTACCATAGATTCTATTGAAACATAATTTTCCCCCTAAAATCACCCTCATTTTTGTTAAAAAGCCAAATCAAAACCAATTTATTTACTGCATTTAGTCCAGTTTCAATTTGGCCTGATTATTTTCATAAACACAACAAGAATAGCAAATGATCATATAAGCTTTCTTAAATCTGCTTTACTGGAATCTCACAAGAAAGTTTCCTCTCAGGGCAAAGAAGCCAAGCCACACAGTTGCCCTCACACTTTCCCACCATACCTATAGGTTTGTGTAAATTTCTCAAGTTCTTCAGGTTCCCCCAAATACCTTGAGGTTCTTTCCTTTCCATCTCCCAGGTAGGGACCCTTTGTCCTTTACCTGGAAAGAATGTCAGGAGCCATGTAAATAAGCCAGATAGCAGGCCATTTCTCCAAGGGGCTTTTATCAGCTTCAAAGTCAATCTGAATTCCTTAAAGCTTTTTGCTGACATCCAGTCTAGGTGTGTCTTTCTCAAACATTCCATTCCGATCAAAGTCTTGGTTAATCCTATATAATAAAAGGCTAATGTGCAAATTGACCAAACGTAGAAACGACCAGTTGCTATGACATGCACTGACCACCAGGGGGCAGATGCTTAATGCAGGAGCTGCCCCCTGGTGGTCAGTGCACTCCCACAGGAAGAGCACCACTCAGCCAGAAGCTGGGCTCAGGGCTGGTGAGTGCAGCAGTGGTAGCAGGAGCCTCTCTTGCCTCTGCTGGCCTATCGGAAGGGAAAAGGCCTAAGCCAGCAGGCAGACATTCCCCGAGAGGTCCAAGACTGTGAGAGGGCATGGGCTGGCTTGAGGGACACCCCCCCACACACATACACCCAGTGCATGCATGTCAGGCACTGGGCCTGTAATAAAACTATAATTGGAAACTGGCTGTATGAGTCCTGTTATGAAGACATCAGATCCCTATTGGATTCATGCAAAGAAACATATTGGCAGGAAAATAATAATACTCATTCACCATGACCAAATGGGATATATTCCGGGGATGCAAGGATGGTACAATATCCGCAAATCAATAAATGTGATACAGCACATAAACAAATTGAGGGACAAAAATCACATAATCATATTAATCAATGTAGAAAAAGCATTTGACAAAATCCAACACCCTTTCTTGATAACAACTCTCAACAAAGTGGGAATAGAGGGATCATACATCAACATAATAAAAGCCAGAAATAAAGGGCATCCAAATTGGAAAAGAAGAAGTAAAACTGCCATTATTCACAGATGACATGATACTGTACACAGAAAACTCTAAAGACTCCATCAAAAAACTGCTAGACTTAATAAATGAATTTGGCAATGTAGCAGGATACAAAATTAACACCCAGAAATCTATGACTTTTTTATACACCAATAGTAAACTCATAGAAAGAGAAACTAAAATAAATACATAAATAAATAATAAAATAAAATAAAAACAATCCCATTTACCATTGCACCAAAAAAATTAAGATACCTAGGAATAAACTTAACTACAGAGGTAAAATCCCTGTATTCCGAAAACTACAGGACATTGAAAAAAGAGATAGAGGAAAACATAAAGGAATGAAAAACTACAGCTTTTTCATGGATTGGTAGAATCAACATCATTAAAATGTCCATACTACCCAAAGCAATTTATAGAATCAATGCAATCCCCATTAAAATACCAGTGACATATTTCACAGACCTAAAACAAACTCTCCAAAAATACATCTGGAATAAAAAATAAAAAAAGACCCCGAATAGCAACAGCACTCCTAAGAAAGAAGAACAAAGTTGGAGGGATCACAATACCAGATATCAAGCTATATTACAAAGCCACAGTTCTCAAAAGTGCCTGTTACTGGCACAAGAATAGACATATAGACCAATGGAACAGAACAGAGAACCCAGAAATAGACCCAAACCATTATGCTCAGTAAATATTTGACAAAGGAGGCAAGAGCATAAAATGGAGTCATGACAGTCTCTTCAATAAATGGTGCTGGGAAATTTGGTCAGATACATGTAAAAAAATGAATCTAGATCAACCAACTTATACCATACACAAAAATACTTAAATATCTTAGAAGACTCCATACGCAGCAAAGTAGCAGGCATTTGTTGTAGCAATATCTTTACCGATAGAGCTCCTAGGGCAATGGAAATTAAGGAGAAAAAAACAAATGGGACTACATCAAAATAAAAGCCTTTGCACAGCAAAAGAAACCATA